GAAATAGTAGAGCTTTGTGAGTGCATGTACAAATATAATTTAGCACAGTCCTGTTTGTTCCATTGAGCATATGAACTCGACTTTATTATAGGAATGGGGATTTGGGTTTTCATCTTTATAATTAAACATTTAGTGGTGATTATCATATTCATGTAGAAAAAGAGCACAAATCTTAAGTAGATTTTTATAAGAAAACACACCCATGTAATAAACAGCACTCAGAGGAAATTGCCAGCATCTCACCAGGTTGGTTTTTTTTTTTTTTTTTCGGGGGGGCGGGCAAAATTTCCCACTGATTATAGGTTAACTTAAACAAAACAAAAAAAAAAACCCAACTTTTCACCAACCTTAAAATTGTTTTCCACCATTAACATTTTGCCAGATCTTGATGGGAATTCTTAAGTCTTGAAAATTAGCCAAGTGAGAAAAAGCCAATGTCTGCTCTGATATCTTTTTTATCAAAATGACACACTGGTTTGTTTTGTTGTTTCCTTTTAGCTACCCTGCTGTCCTTGAGAGTCCTCCCAGAGTTTAAGAAGAAAGCCGTATGGACCAGAGCTTATGGCTGGTGAACAGCTTTGCAGTAGCTAGCAGCATTCTCAGCTGGATGAGGCAAATCATAGAAATGGAAGGAGTTCTTAAGAATTCATGTCTGGGATCGGTGAGACATTGATCCTCACAGTGAAGGGTCATGAAATGGTGGCCACATACCTGAAGCTTGCCACATTCATTGCCAGGAGGAGGGGTACATAATTTTATTACCCAGGCAAGACTGAAACAGGAACACGAATTTTCTTTATTTGACTGGAGTTCAATGTGAAGATTTTCTTTTTGACAACTTGACTATACCTTCTTCTATCTCCTCAATTCTAGTAAAAATATTCTTGTGAATTTTGTGCATGTGACTTTTATTTGGTTTTGCCAGCCAAAGCAAACTATAGTGGTGACAGTGGTGTTATGATCTGATTTCCATGAAGTCTAAGTAGATGATATTCATTGACTTAGACAAGTTTTATTACTATTGATAAATATTTTGGAACTGCTATACACATTTAAATAATAAGCATGACACTGAATATTAGCTAAATTAATTATTAGTGAGGGCTGTATTTCCTTATGCTTTGTTCCCTTTAATGCAAGCAAAAGTTATCCAGTTCAAAATAAATCAGCCAAAAAGGTGAATATTAGTTCACAAATCAAGAAATTTTAGATCTAATGAGTAGCAGTTGCATCCAGTGAATGAAATGGTGCCATCAGACTTTGTTCTTCTTGGGATGCTTCTACATCCCTGGCAAGATGGCTGCCATCTTGCCAAAGGTAAGGAAAAGTGTCTTTGCCCACAGGTGTGGCAAAAGCAACATGGGGAGAAGTTGCTTCATTCCATGTCACATGTGAGTCTCTGAACAAGTGTTTGGTCCCTGGGAAGTAGACCACTGTCATTGGCCAAGCCTAAGTCATAAGTCTACTTATCTTTATATCCCTGCACAAAGAGAAGAGGCAGCCCACCCAGACCTTGTGAACTGTATTTCTTCAGGATGCTGGGTAGGCAGAAAATGGCAAACGTCTCCTCTATTTTTTTTTTTTTTTACAAGTACAAATTTCTTAGGGTGACTAGTAGTCTAAAGAAAATGAAGGTTTGTGACCATGTCCTCAAGGATTGCATTTTATTCAATGGCTTGTCTGTTTGCTAACTATCCTTTTTTCACACAACCATTAATCAGGGTTCTATCTCTAGGCAATCATACACATACTGATACATCTATGAGATAATTGGGAAGAAAAATTATGCCACTGAAAATATGTACCTTTGTATCTGTCATACCAAAGCATAGTACAACGGCTGGTGCTCCACAAGCACCATGAACTTCTAGTATTCCCATGTGGCTTGTACTTTCATGTTGTCACCAAGTATCCCTGCCACCTATGTTGAAGATAGTCCTACTAGTTTTGTTTACCAAATCTATTATTTCCTTAGAGGTTGAGCTAGAGGGAAATGAATTTAAAAAGCAAGAAGGTAGAAAATTTAGATTGGAAGCTAGCCTTCTCCTTCCCACCCACATACACTGTCTCATACTACTGTTACAGGTTGAAATTCATCTAGCATATACTGTTGGGTGCCAGACTGTAAGTACACTTGTATTGGTTTATTTCACTCTTGCAGCAATACCATAAGGAGGTATTGTTTTCTATTTTTTTAAAAATGCAGTAAACACATCCAGGAAGTGGCAGTCTCGCCTCTAGCCAAGTTCCTAGAGCTGAAATAGTTTTGGATCTTGGGTTCTATCAGGCTTATTAGCTTCCTCTTCAAGATGCAAACTCCCATCACATTAAATCTGTTTCATGCTTACTGTAGATTGGTGCACTCAAAAGAAACAACTCTAATATTACCAGACCTCTGGAAGTGGGAAGTTTAGAGTTGTGGTACAAAGGTGTAGGACTTTAGATTTCTGGATCATTTTGTAAATAGAGGTGGCAAACTCAGATTGCTCTTTTCCTTTTAGCTGTTTCTTTTCAAACCTTGTCCCTCCCTGCTCCTGCCCTTGACAAGAAAACAAGGATACAAAAGAGAAAAAAATAAGATATCCCTATCTTCTCTTCCCTAGCTCCCTTTTTTGCTTTTGAGCAGACTTGGATGGAAGATTCATGGGATTTTCTTATTCATGGGAACCTCAAAGGTTGTAAATTTGAAAGTACAAACATTCTAAGATATAGGTCACTGAAATAATAAGACCCTTCTTTTTCATTACCTGTATGACCTCAGGTAAGAATTAATTATTCCCTCAAGATATTTTGGTTTGCTCTCTAGAAACCAGAAGTCTCTGCTTTTTTAAACCAGATGTTCCTTACTATACACAAAAGGAAATTTAACTTACAAGTCATCTTCTGTTAGTTTTTGAAAACACAAATGCCAAGAGAAATAGCATGCAGGGATATACTAACAAATTAATGTGGGGTTAAAGCCATGTTATGTTTCTCAAAAGTATCCAAACATTCTGACTCTTGATTTAAAAAGTGTACATTTAGAACAGATGTTGGGATCCATGCAAGTACCTAAAATCTTCTGTTTTATTTGTAATGGAATGGCTCCATGGTAACCAAGATGCTATTAATAACTTTTTTTGAAGTCATTTGCTAGAAGTTAGCTTCTCTTAGAATGCTAGTATTTGGAGGTGAGGCCTGTGAGAAGTAAGTAGATATGGGTGTGGAGCCCTCATGAATGGAATTAGTAAGCTTACAAGAGACATGGGAGAGATACTTGCTTTCTCTACCATGTGGAGATACAGCAAGAAACCATCCATCTGCAAACCCCAAAGAAGAAGGAGTTGTTATCTTGGAATCTCACCAGGAACTGAATGAGCTGGCACCTTGATATTGAACTTCTCAGCCTCCAGAGTTGGAGAAACCTATTTCTATTGTCTAAGTCACCCCAGTGTACAGTATTTTGTTATTGTAACCAAATCTATGATACACCAAGAAGCAGGTGCTGTTATACCAAATATATAAAAAATTTAGAAGTATCTTTGAAGTTAAGTGATGGGTAGAGACTGGAAGAGTTTCAAGATGCATGATAGGAAAAACTGCTAATACTGTTTAGGAATTGACACAGGTGATTTGGGTAAGGGCTAACAGAAAACAGAAGAAATCTGGAAAGAAAGTGCAATCTTGGAGAATACATAAATTATCATGAAGAGAACACTGACAGAAATAAGAATAGTAAACACCATTTTGGATGAGGTGGTAGATGGAAATGAGGAACATGTTATTGCAAACTGGAAGAAATGGAATCTTTGTTGTAAAGTGGCAAAGAATTTGGCTGAATTGTGTCCATGTTCTAGTGTTTTGTGAAAGGTGAGACTTGTGGGCAATGAACTGGATATTTAGCTGAGGAGCTCTCTAAGCAAACTGTTGAAGTGATTTGGTTTTCCTTCTACTGCCTGTATTAAAATATGAAAGTAATGCATTGAGGACAGAATTATTAACCAAAAAGAAGCATTTAAAGATTTTGAAAATTCTGAGCCCATTCATATTACAAAAAAATAAGAAAATATGTTCTAAAGAGAATACTGAGGGTGTGATAGGAGACCATTCAATAATGAGTTTAGTGTGGGTGTGAACTGCAGACGTAATCAGTTACCAGCACTGCTAGTTTGAACTGAAGGGAATGGAGATGAGACAAAGGGAAGGTTGGTTTTGGATGACTTGAATTTTACAGGAGACCATAGAGTTCATCAGCTGTGAATGTAGACCAGGGAAGAAGGACCCTAACAGTGATTCATTCTGCCAGGAGCCACAAGACTGAGACCATCCAAAGCTGTGGGGACCCGGCCTTCCCCAACAGAGATGGGTAAGATGTCTCCCCAGTGGGTCCTGAAGGCAGAACAGGAAGTCAAAGATCACCCCTGAGCCTTCAGATCTCAGAGTTTGTCTTGCTAGGGTTTGAACCTACTGGGGACCTGTTGCCCCTTTCTTTCCACCTGTGTCTCCCTTTGGAAATGGGAATGTCTATACAGTGCCCATCCAACCATTACATTTTGGTAGCATGTAATTTATTTAAAAAAAAAAAAAAAAGTTTGCCTCAAGATGAATTATACCTGAGTCTCACTTTACTCTGATTTAGAAGATACTTAGATAAAACTTTAGATTTTGCAGGAATGAATTAGGTTTTAGGGGCTGTTGGGATAGAAGGAATGTATTTCACTTATAAGAAGGACATAAATTTTGTGAAGTCAGGTGCAAAATGCTATAGACTGAATCTGTGTTTCCCTAAAATTCCTGTATTAGGCCCTAACCCTCAATGCAACAATACCTGGATGTGGAGCCTTGGGGAAGCAGTTCTTTGATTAGGGTGGAACCCTCCCAAATAGGATTAATATTATTATAAGAGGAGTTGTGAGACAGTGGTCCGTCTTTTTTTTTTTTTTTAAAAAAAAAAAAAAAAGGGCATCTGTCTATAAACCAAGAAGTCCTCACTAGGAACAGAAATCTTGGACTTCTAAAACTCCAGAACCATGAAAATAACATTTATTTAAGCCACCCAGATTGAGGCTTTTGTTATCGCAGCCTGAGAAGGCTAACATAGGCCTTGGAAAGATGTTTAATTTTCTATGTGTAGCTAGTATTTATGGTGGGTACTGACATTCGGGGACAAAGACATTTGTCCATGAAGTACATTATTCTAGATGAGGACAGAGTGTATTTTATAGTGCTTTCCTCCTACAGATCTGCTGCTATTTGGCAATCAGAAGTGAGAAGGAATACATGTAATTTAGGTTATCAAGTCTGGTTTCTCAATTTAACTGAACTTAATTCCATTAATTTCCTTTTTCTCATTAACCTTACAGTGAAACAATCAGACTTCACCCAATATAAATGTAACTTGTATAAAAACCACAGTTTGGGGGAAACAGGGTATGCAGAGTACACGTTTTGGAAATACAGTGAGTGATAAACAGACTGCTGTTGTGTGTAGAGTTGGGGGGGTGTGATTATGTTATGTCATGGGTTTTTGTCAAGTACTGGGTATTTTCCACTAGAATACTTCCTGTGTAGTAGTTGCTGCAGCCAAGTCCACGAGCCTGTCTTTTCTCAGGTCACATTGGAATGCTGTACTTCATATTTTCTTCTTCTTAATGGAAAAGACTCTGAGGACGTCTCTTCTTTCTGAGTAAAGATGACTGTAGGTAAAATACATGCCTAAGGTGGAGAGGAAAGTGGCAAAAGTAAGTAAGGTTGATTAACCATTTCTCTGGAAAGAACCCTGACTTGATAACAGAGTGCTTCCTGAGTCCAGGGAGCCACTCATGAGGGAGACTTGGAGGAGGAACACGTAAGGACGTGTTCAGATTTTTAGTAAGTCAAACTCTTCCATCCTACGGTTTTATTTCAATACAGGGAGTATTTTCCCTTTTTGTGGGAGGTAGTTCTCTTTACTCTGAAGTTGTATCTTTGCCTTTTCTCTGTATGTGGTGTTCTTGTATCTGATCTCTATTGCCTTCCAGAGATGATCATTATTTTGAGAATTTGTGAAGGTTAGATCTGGGGAAATGTAAATTTAATAATGTAACTTTTTCCCCCAATTTCCCAGAAAACAAATTAGTTCAAAAAAATTTCAACTACTTTTTATTAATCCAGAGTATATTTTATTTACATAGCATAACTTTACTCTTTAATCTCAAGTTTCCTGCAAATGTATTAGACTTTTAAAAAATTTTATTACTTGTATATATTAATGGGTTCAGTGATGTTTCCACACCATGCATACAGTGCGCACTGATCATATCCAGCTACCCTTCTACCCATGACGCGCTCTCCCCCATTGTCACCCTTCCCAGTCACTGAAAATCACTATCCTATTTTCAGGTTGACTTAAAAAGTTTCTACATTTTGAGAGAAAACATAAATACTTGTCTGCCTATGGCTTATTTTGCTTAACATGTCCCCCAATTCCATCATTTTTTTCTACAACTGTCAGGACTTCATTTTTCTTAGCTAAATAATATTCCTGTGTATATGTGTACTTTTTTATCCACTTATCTATGAATGCACACCTAGGCTTGTTTCATGTCTTTGCTATTATGAATAGCACCACAATAAACATGGGCATGCAAGTATCTGTTTTGTATGCTAACTTCCTTTCAATATATACTGTTCTCCTTAGTCATTCCTAATAACAGCATATGAGAGTTTTTGTTCCTTCACTTCCTCACGAGCATGTGTTTGTTTTGTTTATAATTGTCATTCTAACTGGAGTGAGATGGTATTATGGTATTTGCCTGATGGATGGTGGTATTGAGCATGATTTTTCATGTATTTCTTCTTTTGAGATGTTCAGATCATTTGCCATATTTAATTGAGTTTCTTTTTACATTAAGATTTCTGAGTTCTTTATACATTCTGGATATTAAACCTCGGTCAGATGAAAAGCTAGCAAATATTCTTTTTTCCATTCTGTACATTGACTCTTCATGGTTGATTGCTGTGCTGCAGCTTTTGACTTGGATGTAATCCCATGTGTCAATATCTGCTTTTCTTTCAAATCTTATCCAGAAAATCATTATCTGTACCAATAGCTTGAAGTGGCTCCCTGGTTTTCTAAGTGGAAGTTTCAGAGTTTCAAGTCTTACACTAAGGTCTTTAATTCATTTTAAGTCAATTTTTGTGCCGGGTGAAAGATAGGGATTAAATTTCAATCTTCTGTATGTGTTATCCAGTTTTCCCAGCACCATTTGTTGAAGAGGTTGTACTTCCTCCAATATATGTTTTTAGCACCTTTGTTAAGATTCCACTGGCTGTAAATGTGTAGGTTTATTTCTGTGTTCTCTGTTCCATTGGTATATGTTTTCATGCCAAACCCATGCTATTTTTGTTACTGTGGTTGAGCAGTGTGTCTTGAAATCAGATATTGTGAAGTCTGCATCACAGGGTCTTTTGTACTTTCATTTAAATTTTAAGATCTTTTTCTATGAAGAATGTCATTGGTGTTTTGATGGGGACTGAAGTGAATCTGTAGACTGGTTTGGTAGTATGGCCATTTTCACAACATTAATTCTAATCCATGAACATGGGAAGTCTTGCCAACCTTAGCATCTTTAATTTCTTATATCAGTGTTTTGTGATTCTCATTGTAGAGGTCTTTCACTTCTTTAGTTTATTCCCAGGTATTTTTTATAGCTATTGCAAATGGGATGTTTTAGTGATTTTTTTTTTTAGAAAACTCATTGGTGTATAGAAAAGCTATTGATTTTTATATGTATCCCACTCCATAAATTCACTCATGAGTTCTAATAGTCTTTTGGTGGAGTCTTTAGGATTTTCTATGTATAGAATCATATCAATTGCAGATAAATAATTTTATTTTATCCTTTCCTATTTGTGTGACTTATTTTTTTTCTCTTACTTAATTCCTCTGGCTAAACCTTCTTGTATTATTTTGAATAAAATCAGAGTTGCCACCCTCATCTTGTTCCTGATCTTAGAGTAAATGCTTTTGGTTTTCCCCCATTCAGTATGGATGTTGGCTATGGGTTTATCACATATAGCCTTTGCTATGTTGAGGTATGATTCTTCCTATACCTAATTTGTTCAGGGCATTTATCATGAAGGGATATAGGATTTTATCAGATACCTTTTTTAAAAAAAAAATTTAGTTGTTGATTGACCTTTATTTATTTACTTATATGTGGTGCTGAGAATCAAACCCAGTGCCTCACACATGCTAGGCAAGCACTCTACCAACTGAGCCACAACCCCAGCCTCCAAGATAACTTTTCAACATCTATTGAGATGATATTTTATCCCTCCTTCTGTTTGTAACATTATACATATTGATTTATGCATGTCGAATCATACTTGCATCCCTGGAATGAAACAACTTGATCATCATGCATTTTTTAATATTTATTTTTTAGTTTTAGTTGGACACAATATCTTTATTTTATATTTATGTAGTGCTGAGGATCGAACCCAGTGCCCCATGCATGCTAGGCAAGCGCTTTACCTCTGAGCCACACACAGCCCCATCATGCATGTTTTTGATGTACTGAATTTGGTTGCTAGTCTTTTTTTTTTTTTTTTGCATCTATGTTCATCAGAGATATTGGTCTATAGGTTTGTTAATGTTTGTCAGGTTTTGATAACAGGGTAATGCTAGCTTCATAAAATGTGTTTGGAAAGGTTTCCTCCTTTTATGGAATAGTTTAAAAAGTTTGGTAAAATTCAGCAGTGAGACCATCTGGTCCTCAGGGGGAGACTTTTTATTACTGATTAGATCTCATTATTTATTGATCTATTCATGTTTTTTATTCCCTTGGTTCAGTTTGGCAGGTCATGTGTATCCCCAAATTTGTCCATTTCTTCCAGATTTTCCAATTTGTTAGCATATAGTTTTTCAAAATAATTTCCAGTGGTCTGCTGTAATTCTGTGGTAGCAGTTGTAATGTCTCCTTTTTCATCTTGATGGTTATCTGGATCCTCTTTTTTCTTGGTAAGTGCAGCTAAAAGGCTGTCCTTTCGCTTAGCTTTGTATACATTATAATTATCCATAATTTGCTCAATCTCCTTAGTACCTTCTTTCCCTCTGCTCCTTCCTCCCTGATCTACTTGCTCTACTGATCTCCCTTCTATTATTTTAAATGGAGCATTATCATTACATACAAATGGGGCTCACTGTGGTATATAACTACATAGGCATAGGTAGATTTTCTTCCCTCGTACTTCCTCATGCCCTCCCCTACTTTTGGATCCCCTTTCTCTAGACTATAGGTCTCTTGATTTTCATGAGATCCCCATTTTTATTCCTTTCTCCCTTTCTATCTTCCACCTGAGAGAAAATATTTGACCCTTTACTTTCTGGATATGGCTTATTTCACGGTTCTCCAGTTCCATCCATTTACCAGCAAATGCCATGATTTCATTCATTCTTTATGGCTCAGTAAAACTCCATTGTGTATATATGTACCACATTTTCTTTATCCATTTATCTGTTGATGGGCACCTGGGTTGGTTCTATTACTAGTCTATTATAACTACCTCAGCTATACTAAAACTTGGTATGCATGTCTCACTATAATATGCTGATTTTAGTTCCTGTGGATAAATACTAAGGAGTGGGATAGCTGTGTCATATGGTGGGTCCATTTCTAGTGTTTTGAGGAATCTTCATACTGCTTTCCAAAGAGTTGTATTAATTTGCAGTTCCACCAACAATGTGCAAGTGTACCTTTTCCTCGATATGCTCCCCAGTATTTGTTATTTATATTCTTCTTCAGCCTCCCGAATAGCTGGAATTATAGGCATGTGCCATTCTAAGTGGGATGAGATAAAATCTGTGTAGTTTTGATTTGCATTTCCTGAATTTCCATTTGATATATATCTTTTGACAAATGTAATTTGCCCTTTTATTGATTTGGTTTATTTTTGGTGTTTTTAGTTCTTTATACATTCTGGGTATTAATCCCCTGTTGGAATAGTAACTGACAAAGATTTTTTCCCATTCTCTAGTCTGTTCTTCATGTTCTTGTTTTCTTTGCTGTGCAGAAGTATTTAAATTTGATGCCATTCCACATACTGATTCTCAGTTTTATTTCTCGAGATTTAGGAGTCCTAAGGAAGTTAGCCTGCAAAGGTTGTTTAGCTTTTAAAGAAGCAACTCTTTTTTTCACTGGCTTTTTGTGTTGTTTTTTAGTCTTTCATTTCTGCTGAGCTATATTATTTCTTCCTTCTACTAATTTACAGTTTGGATTATTATTTTTTCTAAATCCTTGAGGTACATCATTAGGTTACTTAAAGTCTTTTTAAATACAACAACTCATTGCTATAAATTTCCCTCATAATACCACTTTTGCTGCCTCCCACAAGGTTTGGTATATTTTGTTTCATAAATGTTTTTAAAACTTCCCTTCTGACTTCCAGTGACTCACTTATTCTAAAGTGTGTTATTCAGTTTTCACATATTTTTATAATTTCTATAGCTATTCTTGTTTTAATTCCATTGTAATCAGAAAAGATACAAGATACAATGAAATCATATTAAGATTTGTTGTGGCCTAATGTATGGTCTAGAGAGTTTTATGTACTGATTTAAAAAACATGTATTCTGCAGCGGTTGGATGGACTGTTCTGCAAATGTCTGTTAAGTCCACTTGATGTTTAGTATGGTTTAACTTTAATGAAATGATACCTCCTTGATCATTACAAGGAGTGATGTTATTTCTCAGTTTTTGATGAAGTCTATTTTGTCAAATGCAAGTATAGCTATTCTTGCTTATGTTAGGATTTCATTTCAGGATATTTTCCATCTCTTAGTGTATCATTACTGGTAAAATTTTTTATAACAAGAGATAGAACCCAAGGGTGCTTTAGCACTGAGCTACATCCCCAGCACTTTTAATTTTGAGATACAGTCTTACCAAGTTGCTGAAGCTGGCCTCATACTTGTGATCCTCCTGCTTCAGCCTCCCAAGCAGCTAGAATTATAGGCATGTGCCACCATTTATTTCCAATTTGTATTTTTTAATTGTAGAATTTAATCTATTTACATTTTTTACATTTAAGTTTATTATTCAAAGGTACATACTTATGCCTTTTTTGTTAATTATCTTCTAGTTGTCTTGAATATTCCTTGTTCTTCCTCTTATTCATCTTTGTGGTTGGATGGCTTATTGTAATAATAATGTTTGAATCTTTTCCATTTCTCATGTGTATCTTCTGCTCTAGTGGGACTTACACTTTTACATGCAGTCATGGTGGTAGTTTTCTTTCTTTCACTTCTGGATATAGGAATCCCTTAAGCATCTTTTGTAAGGCTTTTCTTGTTATCCTGAATCCTTGAAAGGTCTTTATTTCTCAAAGATAGCCTTGCAGGTAGCAGTTATTGTTTCAGGTGACTTGAAATATATCATTACATTTCCTCCTGGCCTGCAGGGTTTCTTTTGATAAATCTTCTGTTAGTCTTAAATATTACTTGGTACTTTTCTCAGAGATTTTAAAATACTTTGTTCCTGGACTTTTGACTATTTGATTATAATGTGTCATGGTAAAGGTATTTCCTGGTTGTGTCTACTTGGAGTTCTATATGTGTCCCATATATAGGTGTCATGTCCATGTCTTTCCCCAAATTAGGATGTTTTCTGTGTCTTTAACCTTTAGCTCCTCACCTTTGGATATTCCAAAATGAATATTTATTCATTTAATGACACCCACAAGAACTTGAAAGCATCCTATTTTTTTTTTTCTTGTTTGAATGGAATATTTCAAAAGACCTGTCTTCAAGCTCAGATTCTTTTTTCTACTTGATATAGTCTGTCAGGCCTTTGACATTTTCATGTGCCTTATTGAGTTCTTCATTTGCAAGATTTGTTTGGTTCTTTTTCAACTCTTTTTGCTGGGTTTCTCATTCACATCCTGCATAATCTTCCTAATTTCATTTAACTGTTTATAGTCTTAGATCTCAGAGATTTTTAAAAAATCATTCCCTTGAATTATTTGTCAAGTATTTCATTTATTTTTAGTTCTTGGAATCTATTAATAGAGTTCTGATCTTTGGGGGATACACAATTACATTGTATTTTCATATTTCTAAATTGAGATTTGGACGTTTGGTAGATCAGATATCTCTACCACATTTATGGAATGGCTGTTAGTAAGCAACCTTCTCTTAAAGATGTCTAGGGATGTCAGTTTATTATTTAATGTTGAATTTATTTCCAGCTAGGCACCATGTTGTCTCCCTGTAGCTTCTTTGTCTGTGATTAGTGAATTTGGGCACAGTGTATACCATGTTTGTGTCAGAGGGGCTCATGATCTCTGTGGGCTATGCAAGGACACTCTAGTGGTAGTTCAGCCAGGTGTAGCATAGGTAGCACATTGTGTGGCTTCTCCTACAATGGAAGTGGTAGCCCCTATCAAGTAATAAGGGTTTCCTCAGGTACTGGTGACTTCGTTATTTGCAAAGGTCTTTGGCACTGGCTGTCCCCATAATGATATGGGCCTAAAGCACTTATCCTATAGCCAGACAATGGTGTAGGCTCAGGTCCTGTATGGGAGAGGCAGTGGCAGGAACCACAGCATCCCTGTGACACTCACACCCAACCTGACAGCAGTGTGTGTTCAAACAACGTGTAAGAAGGCCTAGTGGCGGGAATCCCATTTGTGTGATGGCAGCAGGTATTCCTTTCTGCCTCTGCTGTGGGGCACTCCTTCACGAGAGAGAGGGAAATGGCCTGGCTTTTTTTTTTTTTTTTTAACCACCAATTCTTTTAGCCATAGTGGCTGCTAGTAAGTTTCCATGAATAAGATGTGGTTGGACCTGGGCAAAATTCCTCTCAAAGCCTCCTTTGGTCATGAGTGCCTCCTGGCAGGGGTGGAGCAACAACCAAAGCTGTGGCATTGCTTAAAGTTACTCTAGCACACCTGTGAGAGCATGGCAGCAGTAGAACCACCGAATTCTTTTCTCACCCACTTAGTGGCAGGCACATATACACAGAGCTTGGGGGAGGGGAGGGTTGGTGGGAACCACATGGGTGACTGCCTTCAGTCCTGGCATCTAGTGCAAATCTGCATGCAACTGGTCACACCCCTGATCTCAGAGGGCAAGCTCTGCAATCTCCCCTTTCTTGAGGATAGTTTCCTCTCCATTCCCTTCCTTATCATAATACCTGTCCTTACTGTTCAGGGCACACAGTGGGTTTGATTCAGACCCACTCTACTGGGTCAATTTTAGTTCACAAGACAAGTTTGGTTCAGGTACCCACTGAAACAGTGCAGTGGAATTTCAATGGCATCCCAGAGATGGGAATATTCCAGGGGCTTCTGTCCCCTGCAACAGCCCAAATTCACACAGTAGGTTCCTTTTCAAGGTGTCTCCCCACTGAAACCTTAGGTGCCATAGCCAGAAGATATGAAATCCTTTTCTAAAGCAAAGCTATTGTGCAGATTTCAGATTTCTCATCTAATTAGGCTACAAGCCTGTGAGGGTTGTGAAACTCTCCAATAGCTAGGATTGCCAGCATCCACACTGATAGTTTGCTAGGACTCTATTTCTCATTTACCCCTGCAGAGGAAAGACACTGCATTTCCTGGCTACCACTCCCATCTGGATATTTTGTTTCTTACTATGCTTTTGTTGGATCTCTGAACCTACATGTTCAGATTCTCTTGCAGTGTGCTCCCATGATCATTTCCTCCACATGCAGCTATATACCTGTTGCTTTGGTTTTTCTTTGTGGAGGAACAGCCATCTTAAAATCCCACCCAACTGTGTTTGTTCCATAAATTTTTCTCAAGTCTTTATCACCAACTCCCGTTTTCTTGCTAGCATATGAGGCCAAACAGGAAACAAGATAGACTTAAGTGGAAAAATCAGGAAGTGCCTGCTTATTTTGATATTTGTAGCTATCTGTGCCTATGGTCAAAACTTATATGTTTCATAGATAATAATTATGTTTTCTGCTAGCAAAACTGTTCTTGATTATATAGTGAAACATATATATATTTGATCTCATGGTGCCCTGAAGAAAGCATTATAACTTCCAAGTGCTTTAATAACATGATCTAGTTCATTGTGTTGGGCTTCTCCTTTGGTCTTTTCTGTTTTTACTAACTTGTCTATTAAGGTAGATGGTAGCATACACCAAAAAACACAAGAATAATTCATAAAGCAAAACGAACAGCGCTTACCTATAAAGAGCATCATGAGATACAGCCTTAGCACATATGGGAAATAGATGGAGAAGTCAAAAGGCAGCTTGGTGGAGTAAGTGCCAAACGATTCAAAATAAGGCAGCGACTGATAGATGGCAAATGCTGTTTAAAGAAAAAGGACATCATAAGGTTCTCCTCTTCAACATGTTCCAGGTTGTGTATATATGTCTCCCTAGTTGAATTTTTTGAATCTGACAGTTTTCTGATGTTTGCCGAATCCTCTAGCTAACATTGTAGTATGGTATAGAAATTTCTGCTGAATAATCAAGTGAACAAAGCTGTTACATCAGTGTGACTTTCTGAATTTTTGTCCAGGATATACTCTATTATGCTCACATGGAAAAAATTATAGGCATTTTTAAAAGGGTAATTCAAAATACTTCTGTGCCCCTTACCACAAATAGGAGTAATAATCAAATGAACTTGGGAGACGCTACATACTTTTTACTCCTGGAATGGTACAACACACAATTAGCACAATAAAGGTCCTGAGAAATTTTGCAATAAAGAGACTAATAACATCCATTTTCTCAGACTATCTCCTCCTCTCTCACACAGCCCTATTAGTACTTAATAAAACTTCTAGGGAACTCATACCTGAAATGCTGGCCTAAATTATTTTGAAGAAGGAGGCTGGTGTCAAAAAGATGGAGACTTCATGAAACTGTATCCCATGTGTAGATTTTTAATAAAATATATAATTTTTTTCCATGAAATAAAACACTACCAGTGATGTGAGATGTTATCACTAGGGAAAGGATGAAAGGTACAGGGGAATTAGACACTAGTTCTGCAATTTCTTGTGAGTCCAACCTTATTTTAACATAGGAAGAGTCAAACGGATCTGCAATGGACACAAAACATGCCACCCAAAACTAACACGAGTTGCCCCTCAGTCTCTAGTATTTCATCATAGAACCAGTTGATCTGGTTATTTATATGAATTATGTTTTTCTTATATTTACCAGATGTAAGAACTATGTTATTTAAATGAGTTATTAACCTATTAAAAGTTATCAAAAGTTAAAGTTTTCTTAACTACATATTCTTATCCTATGAGATATTTGAACTATATAGAAACAAAATCAGTCACCCATATTCCCTACCCAGGATTCATAACTGTTGACAATTTTGTCATGAATGCTTCTAGATTTTTTTCTGTGTATACTTCATAAGAATCAGTTTATGAATTTAATAAAAGAATATGGGTTGTATGACAGCCATGTCTTTCTTAGAAAGAGAAGGCTTAGAATTAACAATAGAATATATTTAGTCATCACTAGTTTTAAGAAGAGATTAATCATATATCTACTTTATTCCCTAATTTAAAATTTTTATTTTGGGTTTTATTAATTTTAATTAAAAATTATAACTGTATACACTCATGAGACAGGGTATATGTCTTGATATATGTATAAAATGTGGAATGATGAAACAAGCTAATTAACATACTCATCACCTCATTTATTTTTGGTGGCAAGACATTAGAAATTTACTTTCAACTATTTTAATTTATTTTAAAATAAATTTATTTTAAAATAAATTATTACTAGCTACAGCCACCTTGCTGTGAAGCAGCTCTCAAAAATGTATTCATCCTAATTTAAGCTTTGCATGCTTTGACCAACACTCAGCCTACCATTCCTTTGTATATTCTTTATAATGTTTTTATGATATAACAAAGGAATGTGCTTAATGTTTAAATGAGTGAGAGATTTCATTCTTAAAGAAAGGGCAGTTTTATGGATTTTCAGGAAGATTATTCTCTAGGTTCTTTTGACATAGTCTATTCCAAAATTTAATAAATCTTCCTTTTGAAAACAAAGCAAATTTAAAAATTATATCTAATATGATTTATTATAACTTTAGCTCCTTTTCTCTGGTCAACAGTAGATAGAAAACATATGGCTTTATTTTACATACTGGTCTTTATGTACTTTATGATATTGGCAACATCACCATCGTTTTATGGTGAATCTGTTTCTTTATGATTTCCCTTAGTTACCTCAACATGCATTCTTATTTTATGCCTTCAGTTTTCAAAAACTTTAATTGTCTTTTAGAAAGCTCCCTAGCAGTCTGCCAAATCCATTACAGAAATAAGTGTATATACTCCAAATATCTTCAAGTTCTTTGCAAGTTGATGATTTTTATTAAGTTTGAGGTTTATATTTTGGTTATGTAATTAACCTACTTGGTATTGGAGCTAACAATTCATTCTGTGTTTACTGAGCATGTATGATAGTGCATAAGAGAAAGGAAAAAAGCAAAGAAACAGACATACCCCATGGCTTCATAGAGCTCAAAATGCAGTTAGGGAACTGGATATTATTCAAAGAATCATACAAATATCTAGTTAAAGCTGATAGGCCCTATAAAAAAAAGAAATCCATGAAACCATAGTAGGAGGAATTTACTTAGTTGAGAAGTTTGTGAAGGCTTCTCTCAGAAAGCAATTATTCATCTCAAGGTAGAGGCAACTTGCAGGCAGAGGGAGAAAGGCATGGGAGATGGCAAGTGAGAAGAGTTTACCTAGGGTGAACAGAATTCCTATGCATGAAAAGTAAAAGCCGTAGATCATTGAGTCTCTAAGTGCTAAACCCCTCTTTGAGAGGTTAAACGAGTTTCACAAAATTCATATAGTGAGTTAATGAAGTTAAGGGTTGGACTCAGATGTCCTTTGTTTCTTGTCCAGAGCTGCTTCCCTTTCCAACTTTGCTTTATGAAGCAAGGAAATGTGCCAGGAAAGACACACTGAGTACGGTAAGCACTAGCACAAATAATTTAATCATCAAAATTTCAGTGAACGATTACAACGAGATGTTTTTATCAGTCCACAACACCTCATCACTCTTTCTTACCTTCAGCAAGAACACACAGGGGATAGATGGGCATCCACAGTGTTTGACTGAGCCATGTCAAGATGGAATAGTATGTTCCTATGACCGATAACATGCTATAAGTGTACCTGCAAGGAGACAAGGAGCTCATAAGTATCCTTTTTTGCTCCTGTCTGGGAAATAAAAGAAAATAACTTACTATATAACTAGATACAGGGATAAAACTAAAAGTATATTACTTACATACCTATTTTCTATGATTTAAAAAATGGTCAGGGCAGGTGGGGACTGTGTCACTCTAGCTTATCTCATGGGGTAGATTGTAGATAATTATAGAATTGAACAGAGTAAGAATGTAATAGTAATCTCTTGGAGTGTAACAAACTCCTTGATTAGAGACTTCAATTTCATTAAACAGCCCAGCCCCATTTGATGCAGACAGCAGCTAGGTTTAAAAAAACCAAAACAAAAACTTTGGGGGATGAATTAAAATGACTTCCCAGATTCTTATTTGGCGTGTAGTTGTGGATCTTACGTGATCAGTTAATTAAAGGAACTGGCCTTGGGAGCTGGTTTGGGGTATAGTAGATAGCTTTAAACCTACCAGCGTGAAGTAGTAGAAAGTTTTCTACAAATTTTTATCTACTTGAATAGGCCAGTGGTTCCTAAGCTTAAGCATACAATGAGAATCAACCCAGGTAGCTTTAAAAGCACACAGGGCTGGGTCCTTCCGCCACAATTTGATTCAGCCGGTCTGAAGTAGAGCCTGAGAAATTTGTGTTACAAGTTCCAGGTAAGACTGATGCTACCTGTCTAGGGATCACACTTTGAGAACAACTGGAAGAGGCAATAAAAATACATGACAAAACCCCCCCAAAGCTTGAAAACATAAACTGAAAAAAGTAAGTTTTTCACTCCAGTTTTTAGAAACAATGACCAATACCAGTTTCTTATGTAACCTTTCAGAAATGTTTTTGCATATGCTCTGTGTATGTAATGTATGCCCGTGGTGTAAGCCCTTACTAACATAGCATGTTATCAAAGTTTTTAATCTTTACAACTTTCAGTGAAAAATTGGACCTTTTCACCCCCCTCTTATTAGAAAAAAGAGGAATGGGTAAGCATCTCACACATTTAAAAGTCATGTTGGAGGAAGTTCAATTTATTTCCTCTTTTGGTGCTTGTAGGTTTGGTGCCATATTTAATAATACATTGTCAAATCTGAAGTTATATTTTCTTTTAAGGCTTTTATATTTTTAGCTCTTACCTGTGAAGTAAGGTTCCAATTTCATTCTTTTGCATGTGGATATCAGTTGTCCTAGTACATTTGTTAAGACTATTCTTTCCCCCCATTGAATGGCTTTGGCACCTTTGTCAAAAATTAGCAAAAAATATGGTAGCTTACCTCTGCACTATGAGTTGTATTCCATGACTGATCCATATGCTAGTACTACACTCATAATAATTATTGCTTTTTGGTAAGATCTGAAATTGGAAGTGTGAATCCTCCAATTGCTCTTTTCTTTTTTTTTGGCAAGGGGGGTACTGGAGATTGAACTCAGTGACAAAATTGACCACTGAGCCACATCCTCAGCCCTATTTTGTATTTTTTAATTTAAAGATAGGGTCTCACTGAGTTGCTTAGCGCCCTGCTGTTGCTGAGGCTGGCATTACAGGCATGTACCACCACTTCCAGCCCCCCAACTGTGCTTTTCTAAGATTGTTTTGGCTGTTCTGAGTTCCTTCACTGTCCATGCAAATCTTAGATTCTTTGTAAAAATTGAGAAGCTGATCTTATCTGGCTGTGTCACTGTAGCATGCTGATTTTAAGTCCTATGGGTATAGACTGAGGAGTGGGATAACTGGGTCAAATGGTGGTTCCAGTCCAAGTTTTCTAAGGAATCTCCATACTACTTTCCATACTGTTTGCACCAGTTTGCAGTACCATCAGCAATGTATGAGTGAACCTTTTTCCCCACATCCTCACCAACATTTATCATTACTTTGATAATTTCTATTCTGACTAGAATGAGATGGAATCTCAGTGTACTTTTAATTTGCATTTTTCTAATTGCTAGAGATGTTGAAAATGTTTTCATATTTTTTGACCATCCATATTTTTTCTTCTGTGAAGTCCCTGTTCAGTTCCTTTGCCCAGTTATTGACTGGGTTATTTGTTTTTTGGTTTTTTTTTTTTTTTTTTGGTGTTAAGTTTTTTGAGTTCTTTGCATATCTTGAAGATTAATACTCTGAGGTTCAGGTGGTAAAGATTTTCTCCCATTCTGGAGACTGTCTGTCCACATTCTTGGTTGTTTCCCTTTGCTGCAAAGAAGCTTTTTAGTTTGATACCATCCCATTTATTGATTCATGATTTTACTTCTTGGACTTAAAATCAGCATACTACAGTGACACAGCCACATCAATGTTTATAGCAACTCAGTTCACAATAGCCAAGCTATGGAACTAGCCTTAGGTGCCTTTCAATAGATGAATGGATAAAGAAAATGTGAAATATATACACAAGGGAATATTACTCAGCCACAAAGAAAAATGAAATTATGGCATTGCTGGTAAATGGATGAAACTGGAGACTATCATGCTAAGTGAAATAAGCCAATCCCAAGAAAACCAAAGGCTGAATGTTCTCTGATATGTGGTACTAATAAAAGTAGATGGGAAGGGGAAGAATAGAAATTCATTGGATTAGACAAAGGGGAATAAAGGAAAGGGAGGGAGGATGGGAATAGGAAAGACAGAATGAATCGAACTTAACTTTTCTATACTCCTATATGAATATACAACCAGTGTAATTCCACATCATGTACAACCACAAGAATGTGATCCTAATTAGAATAAGTTATACACATACTGATATGTATAATATGTCAAAATACACTTTACTATCATGTATATTTTAAAAGAATAAATTTAAAAAGATTTAAATGATGAAAAAAAAAAAAAGAAGCTATCTTGGCTTCTCATGGATTGCATTGAATCTACAGATCAATTTGAGAGTATTTCCATCTCAGTGAAATTATACCTTCAACGTGGGATGTCTTTCTATTTAATAAGATCTTTCACTTTTTTAAAAAAAAGTTCTATAATTTTTATTGTATAAGTTCCTAATATCTTTTAAGATTTTGATTCCTAAGTACTACTCTTTTTGAAGTTGTTATAGTTTTCTAGATTTCATTTTAAGAAATGAAAATAGTTCATTGCAAATGTATAGAAATGCAATTGCTTTTTTAATTAATCTTATGCTATCTTACTAAATTAGTGGATCCCTTATGATTTATGTATATAAGATCACATCATCTGCCAATAGAGATGGTTTTACTTCTTTCTTCCCAATCTGATGACTTTTTATTTGATTTTCTTAATTGCCATTTCTGGAATTTCCAGTACAGTGATGAGTAGAAGTGGCAAAAGTGGACATTCTTCTCTTGTTTCTGAGGAGTGACTGCTAATGGATATGGGAGAATGTTCTTAGATTAAACAGTGGTAATGGTTGCACATCTCTTTGATTATACTAAACTACACAAATTTTAAATTTTAAAAAATGTGATATTCTTAAGACCATTTAACAAGTAAGTAGTAGGTATCATCCAGATATTGCTGACCTCTATATCCAAAATTTCCATGATAGTTTGTTATCACCATCAATACAAAGTTGGTCTCTGTTGGGTCTATTAAGCTCACTGAGACTGAACCAACACTGAAGTTTGCTCGTAGTCTGCAAAACTATTTTTAAAATGTTTAATAAATTACTATGTACAAAGAATTAGTTTAATTCAAAATATTTCATTCTTCTCTCTAGGACTCAACCCATTATTTAGATATATTTGAATCTACCCAAGTTACTGGCAATATAATAAAAGCAGAATTTGTATAACCTCAGCTAAAAATCTCAGGCTATTCTGTGACCAATTCACATCTAATTCTTTCAAGTAGGGGAGAAACTATTCATTTGAAAGCTGAAGTGGCAGTTAGAACACCTCCCCAAAGAGAGATATGAGGGCTCACTGATAAAGGTGAGAGTCTTACACCAAAGAAAAGTCTGGGCACATCTCATTACAGTTTTAGAATTATAAGGAAACTGAAGACTAGACCAAGAATTCCCAGGGGTTCCATGAAAGGACTTCAGTTAGTCATTTGAACCCACTGGAATTGCATACAAAACCTGATGTGGAGGTGCATTTTTTTCCCCTGAAAGGTGAGGTCCTAAGTTTAAAATATCTAAGTCCGCAGAAACCAACTTTTTAAATTCTGACAATGATATAAAAGTTCTGCTTTGCTTGTTAAAGTAACATGTAAGGAACGCCTTTCATTAGCAAACAGCTGTGAGATTTATTTCAAGTTGGTGTTATGCCAAGCCTTGTGCTGGAATCCTGAATGCACTGATTTGCTCTTGTAATACCACGGTAGGTTTCCATTATCTTTGATATGCCCATTATGGAAAGCACTAAAAATACATTTCCATATCAAGATAAAATAATTTGAAAAGAGGTTATGCTTTTCTGTCTCATTCAGAGTAACCAAATGTAAGCAGCTATTACTAGTATTGAAAGCAATCTGGACTTGTTTTAAGAGATTATTTTGCTTTCTTACCTAGCCATATCCAACAGATTCCAAAAGATGAATAAAACACACACCACATATTTCTCCTGGATTTCCTCTTGACTGGTGATCACCACAAAAAGAATGACTATTCTCTCTGTGAGCTAACAAAGAAATGGCAAAGTCAAGAATTAGGATCATTTGTTAGGCCATATAAGTAATTTTCTACTTTTAAAATCCAGAGGTTTTTTTTTTTTAAAGTATGCTTTAACTGGAACTATGTATACCAAAATGTTAATAATGACTATTCCTTAGGGAGTTGTGTCATGGGTAAATTTCATTTCCTCCTGTTTGTTTTTCTGTACTTTCCAAATTATATATAATGAATGAAAAGATAACATTTTATCAGGATATTTCTTTTTCTTTCCATAGGCACACATGTTTCTATTCACTTTGGCAATCTTTATTGAGTGTTCACTATGTATTAAATGCTGTAATGAAAACATGGTCCTTGCTCCAGAGAGGGTAGTAGTGGAGGGAGAATGTGGAGCAATAACTGATGTGGAAATGTATGTGCTATGGGTGGAGGTGGGGTGGCACAGGTGAGGGAGATGCTTGCTGCCTGGAGAAAGAACACAGACTTATGAAGACAGGCAACTATTCAACTGGATTTTAAAAAATGAATGAGTATATCAAGTAGACTGGATTTGAGAAAGGGCATCTTGGGCAAAGGGAACAGTCTGAGCAGAGGTGTAGAAATGCAGGGTGTTTGGGGAGGAGTAAGAACCACTGAGAAACTGGAGTGGAGGGTGCAGAGAAGGGAAAAATAGGGAAGAATAAATTGAAAATGTGTTTAGGGCTGAGTTGTGAAGGGTTCTGAATGATAGGCTGAGAAATTTTAATTTCATCCAATAGAGAAGCTATTGTAGTTTTGGGGGAGGGAGGGAGAAGGGGAGTAATATAATCCTAACCTTCAAAAGCTAGTGGAAAATGAAGAAAATTTAACACATTCTTGGAATACATACATATATTCAGTAAGCATTTCCAAATCATTGAGAATTCACACATTTTTGGCTCACCTCCAGTTACCAGCCTCAAAAAAAAAAAAAAAAACAACAACTCTTTCTCCACCTAAATATTAAGTGCTTTCTTATGTTTCATTAACATATCCTGTATAGTCTACATTTTTTGGAACTTCATAGGACATTTTACTTTGCTCTTGATGGTCAAAAGAAAGTAGATTTGAGACTGAAGGAACATACTCATAGGAAAAGAAAACATAAAAGGTTCGCTTTACGTTTTTCAATAGCTGCCTTTATTTTAAAAGCTGATTAAGGAGAAAATACTGGAACAATCTGGCCATTTGTCCAGGAAAACAATCTAGTGTAGAAAAATCCAAGATTTGCCAACAGTGGGTCACGTGATTAGAAGTCCACATGTATAAGCTATCTCAGCATGTGTGTGACCACAGAGGTGAGTCAAAAGGGCCCTAGCTTAGCTAAGGGGAATTAAGACATGATTCAAACCTGAGTCAATCTGTGGATACTATCTACATAGCAGTTTTTCTTTGGTCAGTGTTTATAATATAGTACCCTTTTTTCTTAATTATATAATGAATTCTACTGAGCTGCAAGTATAATTATGATCCAACCTTGCTGTCATTTGAGTACAAGCTGTAAGTACTGAGGCACAATCTTACATTTTATCAATGCCTGGTAATTAGGAAACCTTGCTTTTTGCTAAAAATCTCAGGGGAGACACACATGAACACATGCATACAACACAGATTTCTAATTACATGGCCAACTACTGAAAAAATGTAGATACCTCTTAATTAGGTGATCTCTAGAGTCCCCTTCAGATAAAATATTCTGACACTAGCCCAGCCCCGCCTTTTTACAAATAAGGAATTTGGGAAACAAAGAATTTAACTGACATACCCAGGTCAGGAAACATGTATCTTAAATCTCCAGAGTTGTAAGCTGTCCGTGATGTCAAGCTGACCTTTAGGTGATGAGGACAGATGGGAAAATCTCCTGAGAGAGACTGGAGCTACAGGATGAGACTCACTCCATTGAAAATTGTCAAGTGAAGTTCTGTGGCATATTAGTGATGGAATCCCAGTTGCATAGAAATCAGCAATTGACATGCCCCCAAATACAATCCACAACACATACACATATGTGTGGGTATGTAATCAAAATACTTCCTGCATATACAATATCAATTTTTGTGTGTGTATGTGTGTGTGTGTGCTGGGTATTGAACTCAGGGGTGTTTAACCACGGAATCACATATTTTAGCAATGTGAATGGAAATAAGCACCTGTTTCATAGCTAAAAAGAAAATTTTATTTTGAGACAGGGTCTCATTAAGTTGCTTAGGCTGGCCTTAAACTTGTGATCCTAATTGGCCACTCAATGACAATATAATATAATAGGCAGAGATGTTCTTAAGTTGATAAAAGTCAACATTTATGGGTTACTTTTTGCCAGGTTCCAAACAAACAGCATCTCAATCTCCATACTGACCGTAAGAGGTGGCTACTATTACTGTTTTACAGAAGTCACTTTACTAAGTTAAAGTGACTTGCTTACAGGTCTAGCATCAAGATCTGGACAATGCAATTCTAAATCCCCGGTTGTGAAACATTGACTCTCACCTTTGTTACTTGGTGAACTACTCCAGAACCTCACATCCAGCAGACAATCTACTCTCTAAAAGAAAGTTTCCTTTGAAATTATACCTTAAGACAATAGACTCCTTGATTTCTTAAATCAACACCAAATCAATTTTGAGGAAAAGATTTTTTAAACTTATTTTCTTTGAGATTTACAATTTGGAGAACTAAGCACTATTTTATTTTTAATGAATCCTAGGACTATCTGATTATTACTAATGAATGGTCTTGTAATGTTGAGTATAATTCAAACGGAGAATAAAAGGTGCAATAGTAGTAATCATAGTAGAAATCCTATCATTTATGCCACATTAAACCTGTTAATATTTATTCAAATGTATGGTAGCCACAAAATAAGAATACTTTGCATTTTTATGTTCTGTTTTGGAATCCTAAACTCCAGGTTAAAACAATAAATGAAGCTAGGTTATAAGTGGCAGGTAGCACTTTATAAGCTGAAGTGCTAAAGAGGCAAAATACTTCAAATGTAAGGAGATTTTATGGAATCTTATAAATTAGTTTTAGTCTCTGACTTTTACTAAAATGATAACCCAAGCTTTCTATTCTGTGAACTTTTGGGAAACTTCAGAAATATCTTTATATATTAAAAAAATCACCAACTACTTTCCCTGCAAGATCAAAGCATTTAAATAATTCTCTATATATTTGTTTATTCATTCTTCCTCTAATAGATAATTATGGAGAGTACTGGTACTGTTCTGGGTACCAGAGGATATAGCTGTAAATAAGACCAAATCCCTGCTCTTACAGTATTTGCATTCTACTTGGTAAAATGTAAACAAATGTAGCTTAAACAAATTTGTTACATAAGTTACATAACCTTTGTGTTCTTCAGTAATTGACTTTTGTGTTAAGTAATTTTAGAGATAATGCTTAGTGTCTATCACATAGGAATTAAAAATAGGAAAAAGTTGTTCTAAAGAGTGTTAATGCATATAAAGAACTTAGAAAAGTGTTTGGTGCATAGACCTAAATATCAGTTATGATTACATATAATTTAATGTAGTGATTAGTGTATTTAGAGGAAAACATTTTCTATATAGATAATCCAATCCATGAATTTAAAAAGTCAATTTCAGCATTTATTAAATTACACTATAAATATAGGTTTGTACTTATCACACTAAGTAACTCCTTAGATCTAAAGTACAAAACAGGAAAAATCTAAAACCTTACTTACAGAGTGAATTATATGTATAATTAATTTCCAGGAGGCTTCAAATTTGGGGGAATCTTACTGTTCAACACTGTCTTCAACAGTTTTATCTCTAATGATTATAAGCTTATTCTCAAAACTTGAGAGAAATCTATGTGATTTTATGAGAATTCAAAAGATTAGCCTAGCAATGCATATAAGCACCTGCTTCACAACTAAAAAGAAATTAAGAGTGAAACCTACCTAGTTGTTTTCTTAAAAGAGAGTAAGACACTCTCCTTGGGAATGCCTGCATATCTGTTCTGTTAACTTGGAAAGCTGCTGCAGGAGAATCTCAAGTTGAAGACCAGCTTTGGCAACTTAGTGAGACCCTGTCTCAAAATAGAGTGAAAAGGGCTGGTGATGTACCTCAGTGGTAAAGTACCCTTGGTTTTAATCACAGAACAGAGACAGGAGGAGGGTCTGTGACTGTGACATCTTTGGAGTGAGTTTTAGACAGCAAGCTTGTCCTTGACAAATAGGAGTGGATATGGGCAAATATAGAAATGGTTCATACAGTTTGGTTTCAAATGAAATTTTTGTAAGCATAATAATTTAAGGGTAATAATTGCTAGTGTTTTGATTTACAGATTAAAGGAATTGTATAAAAATGTAAAATGAATACATATGCAACAGTGTTTAGGAAGAAAGGATGTGGAATTGATTCATTTTGATTCAGTTATAAAGGAAGTATTTACATTTAAAGCATTTCTCAAAAAATAAAATATTACTCTTACATTACTTATATCTCACTATCATACAAAGTGTATCAGTCTAACATTATCATACAAAAGTTATTTTTTGGCTATTTCCTCTCTTCTTGAGTTCAAACGTCCTAAAGTCGTATCAATAAGCTTTCTCAGGCTTCTGCACAAATGGAGTATGAACACAGCCCTTAAAATATTTCAGAATTGGTAATATTCAAATTCTCTCTAAGTTTATTTTCCTTTTAATTAAATTTTCTTTTGTATTTTAAAACATTTTTATATAGTTTTAATTGGCATGTGCCTATTTCCAGAAATAGAAGTTCTAAATAGCTATTCATGTTATGTTTTTTCCCTTTCCTCCTAAAGTATATTAAAAATAAAATATATATCTGTTAAATGCTTGTCTTATAAATCAATGGTGTTTTCCCCCACATTTTGCTTTAGCAATTATGTGATTTTTAAAATCATGTCTCTTCCCACAGTGCCAAAATAAAGATGTTAGTGTAAAATGCACAGAACACAAACTTACTCCTATTTGTACACCACTAGTACTTGCTAAGGGATTCTAACTATTCAAAAAGCTTATCCATCCCTACTGCTAGTTGGAATTATTTATCTTGACATTTTGCAAGACCAGTCCCCCAAAAGAATTCAGTTGTGGCTTAGCAATCTCTTAAAGGTAATATCAAAATAACATCACAACTGTGTGAACGTGATTTAGGGCCTCCTTGAAAACATCTGGGAACCCTGCATTTTTAAGATCTGCATGCAGTCAGCTATGATGATCGTGCAAGTCACTTAGTTGCTCTCCTGCCTTCAGCTTCTCCATTTAAAATGGAAAAACAGGAAAACCAACAATGATTACACAACCTAAGAGTTTTGTTTCATTACTTTATAGCAGAGGTCTCAGTCATCTCATAATGAGAGAATTCTATTTGTCTGCAGAACTCTCATAAAGGAATGGGGCAGAAAATGAAACTTTGCACAAGATGATGTGTTTTGAAGCTCTGTTAACACCATTTTCATTCTGAGAACCAGTGAATAAAAGAAATAGAGGGTAGTGGTGCACTCCCATAATCCCAGCAGCTCGGAGGCTGAGACAGGAGGATTGTGAGTTCAAAGCCAACCTCAGCAAAATTGAGGTGCTAAGCAACTTAGTGAGACCCTGTCTCTAAATAAAATACAAAATAGAGTTGGGGATGTGGCTCAGTGGTCAAGTGCCCCTGAGTTCAATCCCCAGTATCCAAAAAAAAAAAAAAAATAGAGAGCATGTGACAATATCTTAAAAGAAATTTTAAAAGTAAGCAAAACAACAACACAAAAAAAACTAATAATCAGTCCAGGAGAAGAATGGCAGTTGTTCTCCCTAATGTGGTGATTACTGACTTGTCATCCCTCCTAAGGACCAAAGACTTAAGAATCCTTTGTTTTATTAACAGTAGACTTTGCAAATACACTTTTAAGTCTAAAGTGTTAATGTTTGTTTATCGTTATTTCAAAATTACAATTAGGACTAACCTCTTGGATTTCAGTGATGGTTCTATAAGCCATTAGTTTTAATTAGTGGTGATTAAAATCACATTTAAATTTTCTGGAACTCCAAGAAATCAGATTTCTAAGTTTTATGATTTCTGTTAAGCAGACCTACAAAATTTTGCGCAGCATAAAATATGTGCATATTTTCCAGGCATATTCTAAGTACTCATTCAGTTCTTCTTATGGTTACGCATTCTCACCAGGTGTACTAACTGAACTAATACTACTTAATTTTGAAAATGCTGTTTTAGCATGAAGTCAGTATTAACAAATATAGCATAAAAAAATAAAAAGTCCCTACAAGTATACCAAAAGAAAACACGAACATGAACAGACACTTCTCAGAAGATGATGTACAATCAATCAACAAATACATGAAAAAATGTTCATCATCACTAGCAATGCAAATCAAAACCACTTTAAGATTTCATCTCACTCCAGTCAGAATGGCAACCATTATGAAGAAAGACAACAATAAGTGTTGGCAAGGATGTGGGGGAAAAGGTACATTCATACACTGCTGGTGGGACTGCAAATTGGTGCAGCCAATATGGAAAGCAGTATGGAGATTTCTTAGAAAATTGGGAATGGAACCACCATTTGACCCAGCTATCCCTCTCCTTGGACTATACCCAAAGGACTTAAAAATAGCATACTACAGGGATACAGCCACATCAATGTTTATAGCAGCACAATTCACAATAGCTAAACTATAGAGCCAACCTAGATGCCCTTCACTGGATAAATGGATAAAAAAATGTCGCATATATACACAATGGAATATTACTCAGCAATAAAAAAGAATAAAATCATGGCATTTGCAGGTAAATGGATAGAGTTAGAGAAGATAATGCTAAGTAAAGTTAACCAATCCCAAAAAACCAAATGCCGAATGTTTTCTCTGATATAAGGAGGTTGATTCATAGTGGGATAGGGAGCAGGAGCATGGGAGGAATAGACAAACTCTAGATAGGGCAGAGGGGTTGGAGGAGAAGGGAGAGGGAATGGGGTAATTAATGATGGTGGAATGTGATGATCATTACTATCCAAAGTACATGTATGAAGACACAAATTGGTGTGAATATACTATGTATACAACCAGAGATATGAAAAATTGTGCTCTATATATACAATAAGAATTGTAATGCATTCTGCTGTCATATAAATTTTAAAATTAAATAAAAATAAAGAAAACATGATTTAAGATTTTTTATGAATTTGATATTACAAGCAAAATAATTCCATATGATAGAATAGAACTTTAGAACTTTAATTTAACGTGGCCTGTTAATTCTGTCCTCCAAGACCAACATTATGAGATAGTATTGCTAATTTCAGTTGTTTCAAAGTACAGCATGCAATGTTAAATAATTCATAAATACAAATAAGTTGTCTTACGAAATTACATGTTGCATCTATGACAGATCTGTAGCTTTTTATTTTGTGAGGAAATATACTGAAGGAAATTCCATTTAGGTCTTAGCTAGTTAACTATTATAATATTAATCTATTATATAGGATTGCCATGATTTTATTTTACATTTGAACATTTTAAAATGTCTTCATTATATTCTCCAAATAGTGATGAAAGGAAATCTGGGAATTTATTTGTTAATCATCTGCTCTTTTCCATTCATTCTAATGAATACAACTTCTATTTAATAAGTAAAATGAAAAATATCCCATAAACTTGTAATACTGAGTTGTTACTTGATTCCTTAGGATTATATTCCCAGTTTCACCTTTTAAACTTTCATGGTATTTAAAGCAAATTTTAGGACAGGGACTATATCTTATTCCTTCAACAAAAAATTAAGCACTTTGCTAGACAATATAAGACTGACATTTTAATGATTTTTACAATGCAAGTTTGGCATAGTTATACACTTTTTAAATTTGTTTTGGGGATACCTAAAATTATACTCATAGATAGCTATTCCCAATCCTGGAGATTATGAACACATGTTTACATAGTCACCTAACCCTTATTTCCACTCTAAGAAAAATGCTACTTCATGGTTTTTCTTGCCTTAATCCAGATTTTCTATTGAGTATCAGTAAATTTCCAATCTACTTTCCACCTGCCTTTAAAAAGAACATGGTCATCTAGGGCTAAAGGCCTGGTAGAGGAAACAAATAATAGCTAAAATAATAGCAATGACTAACAAGTATTTTATTTTAACTAAGTACCAGGAATTTTCCCCACCCATGTTCTCAGTTATTCTCTTAAGTCCATGTTATTCTCACATCATGAGAAAGTCAGGGTCAGAATGATTAAACAACTTGTGTAAATTCATGCAACAAGAAAGAGGCAAAACTGGGATTTGAATTTAAGTCAGTGTGACCCCAAGTCTACGCTTAGATTCTATACTTGGTAAACATGAATCATTTTCCTTTTCCATTTGAATTCAGTAAACGTGGTAGAATGAACAAGAAATGGCTGGGAGTGTTCTCCAAACAGGGATGAAAGGAAATCTGGGAATTTATTTGTTAATCATCTGCTCTTTTCCAGTTATTTGTATGGTGTCCTCTCCCAGCAACACCCCAATGACTGTGGGTAGAATAATCCCACAGTAATCAGTAGAAGAGCAGGGCATTGTACTCAGGTGTGAATGGCTTCAATCCTCGGACTTTCTGCTGTCTCATACTATCCCAAGCTATGACATGCTGAGGGTGGGAAGTGGCCCTGAAATCTCCCAGGATAGGATCAAGGAAGTACACAGATCAACGTGCACCACTGCCTTGAATGTTTCATATCAGCTGACCTAACTGCAGTTTTAGAATAAGACAATCCTTCTGTGTAATAGATTCTCCTTATCAGTGACTTCAGGGTTGGCTTTTTTTGAGTGCCATAAAATGAAAAGACTGTAAATAGAACAAAGTTAAAAATGAAAGATTCTATAATAATGTGACTGAAACCTACCTGCAAAAACCTTGGAAAAAGATGGTTTGATTCAATGCCAACATATATGTGCAGCAACTCCAGGAGAGAAATGGATTGGCAAAGTCGCATGACAAGTCCAATAGCATAAAAAGTGTCAACCATTGAATCTGTCCAGTGGATAAAAAATACAAATAAAGTAAAAACCAGTTCATGATGCAAATCCATGCAACTCATTGAAATAAAGTTGAGATCATTTACCTCTTTTTATCGTACATGTAAAAAACTCTTCAAATAGGCTACTACATTAAGTCTGCAATGCAAAGAAAGCACTTTGTATTGTAGTATACTTTGATCCCCTTCCAAAATGAAGTACAATGTAAGGCTTCACAGTGAAGGCTGCACTATTTATTCCCCATATATGAGATTATAAAGGAATTCCCACATAAAGGTAATCAGCTGGATTCTAAACCACCTGGAGCACAAATAGGTTGGAGGTGAGCTTCTAATAGCTGTTGTGCTCAGCTTTTCCAATGACAAGAAAATGACCAAGATGAGGAAAAAATATTTCAGAGAAGCTTTATGGAAATGGCCTTAATGATGCTATGATATCAGATACTAAGTGTATCGAGCATGTGGTTCCTATATGAACCTGCCTAGTGTTTTCTGGATTTGTGCTAAACCCTGAACTTGGGTTCTGATCAGGACTTTTGGAGTTTGTACTTCAGAAGGCTCAACTGAGGTACTGCCCTTGGAGTGGAAGGGTAATAAATGTCCCTCTAAATAGGATACATTTGGCTTTAAGTTTTAAAATGAAATTCTGCCTTTTTTTTTTTTTTTAGAAACTTCTAGGTGTGACTGTGCTGACTTTGGTACCTAGTGTTCATTCAAACAATAACGGATCAAGTGCCGAGGGTCTCTCAGCTGCTGCAGCAGTTGGACACTGTTAACATCACCCTGATTTCCGATGATTACTGATTCACACCACCTACCCTCTTCTGCATTGCCTGCACCTCTTGTAACCAAGCTATCAATGACAGAGCTCTGTGAAGGAAGAGGGGAGGAGGAATCCCAAGTTCAGGGTTTCATATTGCTGCTGAGCTATTTAAGTCATACACTGATTCAGGAATTATACTGAACCCCCACTCACGTGTTCTCAGTCTCCCTTTCATATAAATCAGTTGTATTTCTTTAATGAGTAGCTACTGTAATTATAATGACATGATAATATTAAGAATAAACACTGCTGACCACAGCAACTTTCCCCTCTGGAAACGTGAGACAGCGCTAGAGTTCCTGGGGACATGTATGGTGACTGACCTACAATAATACTCCCACATAGCCTCAACTTTCAAGGCCTAGACTGATGGCTTTTTTTATTATAAACATCAAGGGAGTTTTCCCATCACCTTCATTTTCCTCTGCTTGAAAACTCTCAACGCTCATAGTTGAAATTCAAGCCTTAGGTTGTATCCTTGACATTAATTCACAAAGGCGAGAATTCATCTGTAGATTTTTGTGAGAAAAAGCAACATAAAATGGCTTATGGTATCTCAGAAGTAGATTAATTTCCTTATGATACAGAATTGATGAGCACAGCATGGCATGTTTGTTTTTTAGCTGAAACCAGCAGTTGCTCAAACTGTCAAGTCACCCAACAGTTGTAAACTGTGATGACACTTACTCATGTGGGGATGGAACATGAAGAGAATGTTATTGACAGTCATTTAATGATTCATTCTTTTAAAAAAGAAGAAGAATTGAAATGCTTTTTGCTTTTTTAAAACGATATCTTTACTTTTTAGGAAAAGCGAGGAAGCTTATGATTTAAGCCATTATTGGCACTTTCCAGGTAGATGATTAGTCATCTACAAAGCATGTCATTTATACACTACTTAGGAAGGGGATCAAATAGAGTCCTGGGGAGTATAAAGTTTGTTATTCACTTACTAGTGAATAACAAAGTCTCCAGTTAAACCTAAGGAATAAAAAACACTGGAAGAATTTGATCAACTCCTGGTTGCTCCGCACAAAATGCAATACTGGAATTTATAGATTTCCTCAGTGCACACCAAATTTGCGAGGGTTTAATGCAGAACCAAAAGAAATGGTGAAATGGCATTTCTGCCTAATCAGAGCCAAATCTCTTTCCATTATCCCATCTTCTCCCTTCTCCAAAAAGTTTTTGATTTTGTAATAAGCAGGATGTATGATTTCTGAAAAACATGAATTTTAGAGAAGTAGAGGATGGTAGGTGAGCTCCAGAGAAATTTAAAATTAATATAAGCAACTCTAGGCAAAAACAAGGTGCAGAAGATTAAAATAAACTGAGTTTTACCTTTTCCAAATGAAAAGAATCTGACTGTCATATTTGTAAGTATCCATGAGTGGCCACAGAACTGGATTAAATAATAGATGAAAAGATAGGCAGTCTTTCTATACCTATAAATACAGGAAAATACCATTAAACACTTGTTCTATTATTAACCTTTACATCATTGTACACAGGTCCTTTAGCATACTGGTCACCTGACAAGCAAAAATCAAAACAAAACAGAACAACAACCCCAAAACCTGTTATCAGAGTATTTTAATCAGTGGCTCCACAAAACACATCAGATTTTAAAGGGACCCATATCATATACTATCTGCTAAAGTGAGTATATTGAGTCTGCTTAAAACCAAATACAGATCTTTTTTTGATTTTCATCTTTGATAAAATTCTAACCTTGCGGCTAACCCAGGAGTAAAAGCAACATCTACAAAGATAGCTTTGAATATTTGGTGTGGTTGTGGGGGGGGCACATGAGTGTAGAAGGATTGATATGTTCAATGTGTGCTCCAGAAGCTCAGCCTGCTAAGCGCAGAACTTAACTGGGTGATACTTGTGAGCAGGGAGTAGTGATGGCCACTGTCTCAAATGGTGGATAATTCAGTAATTGGGCACACGGGACCTCTGAATGCATTATGCGATTGGGGTCAGTATCTTGCCACTGCCTTCTATTATATTTTGCAAGGGCAGATCGTTTCCTTCATCAGACACACATAGATGTTTAGTTGCTCATGCCAAAAAAGGGAAGTCAAGTTGGGTTTAAAAATGTGTTGTGGGTTGCTGGGGAGATGACTAAGGGAAGATTGACAGATGCACGATATGAGGGAGTTTGAGAAAGCATTGTTTGAAGTGTTCCCTGGGGGTTTCGAAGGATGGTAGGAGTGGCCTTGCCAGTGCAGACAGGGTTTTCTCCAAGTAGGAGATGTGAAACCTCTGAGAAACAAGGTAAATTAGCTGAGGAGCATGCCAAGTCCCTGGGTGATCAACAGATGACGTAACTAAAGGGGCTGAAAAGAGGAAATCCTCCAAGTTGCCTCAGAATCACCTGGCTTATGGGTTAAAAATACACAGGCCTTACCCTTTCCTAGTGCACCGAATCAATTTCCCTGGAATCACACGTGTGATAGGTGTTTCAGTGAGATTAAAACTCCCCCTGCAACACTTGCCCTACAACAAAGTCAAGGGCAGGGCTCTTGGTGGGGGTAAAGAGGAAGGGCAGAGGGACTGGCAGAAAGAGCCCGAAGGGAAGAGGTGGCCACACAGCCTGTCCTTCCCATTTCCTCATCTCAAAAATGGGGAAAAGAGAGCCTTCTTCCTAGGACTGTCAAGAGAATTAATTAAGAATAATACCTGTCTAGAGCTCCAGGGAGTGCGGGCCAGTAGGGGTGGGTGTCACAGCTGGGCTGGTGAGTGTCCCCGGCTGCTAGATCCCCCGCCTCGGCCGGCGGCCCCTCCTCCCGCCCGGCCCCTCCTGTCCCCTCCCACCTCTGTGCACCCTACCTGGGCTGCAGCCAGGCAGGCAGCGCCACGGGCCCCATGGGCCTCCACCACCAGGATCTCCAGCGCCGTCCGGGAAGGAGCCTGGGCGGGGAGGCGCGAGGGGCTGGCCGCTGCGGGCGTGGGAGGGCGGGGCCTCTCCACACTCAGCAATTTACAAAAAGAAAAACCAGAGGTCTTGCGATGGGCAACAGAGAAAAACTTAAGTTCCTGCAGCGCAGCACTAGGAAGGGCTGGCAGGGAGTGGAAAGTGTGGGAGACTGCAGCCAGCCAGGCTCAGGAGCAACCTGGGTCAAACACATCTGCATTCCCAGCGGGCTTGCCCGCTCTGGTTACCAGCTCCCATTTGCTAACCCCGTGGAGATTTACACACCTGGGAGACTTTTGGGGCTTTGAAACGTGCTGAAGGCCATCTCAAAGCCTCCAAGGATGCGTGCATCCTGGGTAGGCACCTTAATTACAACCTTCACAGGCCAGAAAGAAAGATGTGGTCATATCTCCCAACACCTTTTCCATAAAGGTTCTTGACTTCTCCAAGAATCTGTCTTTGCCCTTGAATATCCCTGAGTCCTTTTTTATTGATGTTGTATTAATGTCCCTCTCCTATGCCCAGCACTTGTAAACCTTCTACTGAGCTCTCAGTACTATGGCATTATCATCTCCATATTCAGATGGTCCATCTCACACTTTGCTGATAAGATCTTTTTTTTTTAAATTTTTTTATTCTTGGTTGTTCAAAACATTACATGTTCTTGATATATCATATTTCACACTTTGATTCAATTGGATTATGAACTCCCATTTTTACCCCGTATACAAATTGCAGAAT